TTTTTTTCAAGTTTGCCCATTTAAACGAGACTGCCTAGCCTTTTGGATTGGCACTGTTAGAGAATTTATCATTTGTTCAAACGTGTGGCCTTTTGTATGGTCGCAGTCTCCTTTCGTTGTATAAAGGTTGTTTGACCTTGTTTTCGCAACATGTTCATATTGGTAGGAAGACTTTGAGGATCGTTTCCAAAGTTGAACCGTGGACGTGGTACATTCCCAAACGTTTCGCCAGCATCGTAGTCGGCATCGTCAGTGAGTATCGCCATCCTAATCACCATACAGCAACTCGTCAAAGAGACAAGTGAAAATGAAGTCTGGAATGACCTCTTTGCTCTCGTAAAAGAGGTATTCCAGCTTTATGCCGTGTCCCTAGCGCGAGAAGAAGCGACACCAACTCTGGCCAGATGAAGATAGGAACTAAACTGTGATGACATCGGCGTACTCCTCCTGGAGGCATTCTATCTTAAAGTGGATGCGATTTTCCGGGAAGCCGGTTGTTATTCGTTGTCCAACTAAATCTACATTTTTAACACTGTCTATTTTTGCATTTTTGCCCACAGGGACATTGGTATTAAAGCTGCTTTCCTTCTAGTTGCCTCATGAGGGTACAAATTGTCTATTTCGTCTTTCCAGATTAGTGGAGCGTACGATGCCGGGATCAGTGGACGACTTGGTTGTAATTCGTGAGAATCCGCTCCATTTTCGGTCTTCCATTTTGTTTCTATTAAATGCATATCTCAGGGAGGAAGCATGTCATGTTTACGGTGAAGCGAGTGGACGGGTGACCTGGTCTTTTTCTTGTATATTCTCTTATTCCGTATGTGTGCATGTACAGCAGAGCTGGTACCACTGGTGGCGAAGGCGACAACAGAAGAAGACACTCCTCACATGACGACGCATATATCGTGTCATCGACCTGTGCTGGTCGTGGCCCTTGTGGTCTGCCGATAGTACTTGTACAGGCGGCAGTTCAGCCTTTAACTTTTCATGTTCACACGACATGACAGTGGCATAGCTCCCCTACAGCGTCTCTCAGGAAGGGGCACTCGAGTTCTGGTTGGCCAGGCTTTGTTTGGGGTGGAGCAACTGGTCGCTAAAGGGTCAAGGATTGTTGTGTAGCCTAACTTTGGTGCTGTGTTGTTAATTGTATTGTGAATCTCACCATGAATCTCCGGTGACTGCGACGTTTCAGTTAACCACGCGAAGGACATTCATCTTGCAAGGAATGGCATCGTCTTTCTTTCATACTCTTTAAGTCCTGCATAAAAAAAGAGTACAGACTGAATAGTTCAGTGCTCATTCTGACTGGACGGCATCAGCAAGGCCTTCCATTCAGTTCGGGACCTATCACTTACCACAGACGATTCGTCTCCTTGCTCAAAATCCACTCACAGTTCTGCTACATACTCGCTAAGTGTGTGAGTAGGCCTGGTTACCGAGACTGAAGTGACGTTCACTGTCTGGCCATGCACAATCGTCAAGCCTTTTTATCTTGTCGTCAAGTTGTGATGATGTATTCACCAGATTTTGTGTAGTGTGATAAGTGGGCTGGCAATTGAATTTTCTCACAATAATGTGAGAACACAAGACATTTCCATGTTATTTTTTGTATATAAGTAGAGATTCGAAACTACCAGTAAATCAGTTATATGATATTTATTCACCCTATTTCGTTTAATGTGATGAAAGACTGGTAGTAGAATTTTCCCACAATGAAATGAGTAGAACCGACGTTTCCATTGAATTTCACAGAGCCTTGTTTTAATAAAAGTTGTACTCATCCGGGGTGGACTGCAGTTTCGACCCCGCATAGCAACACTCCCAGCGGGGGTCAAACCGTGAAAACAGTGCAGCATGTGAGCTTTACATATCAACCACTCAGCCATATTGCCACGAGTTTCCTTGGGTCACAGGGCAGATGTAAATTTTAAGGAAGGCCAGGCCCTTTTATCACATTTTTTGTTTGGATTGCCAATGAAGCAAATACATTTTTGCTATAACAATTGACTACATTACTTATTTTTCGAATATAAGTAGAGTATCTAGACTATGAGTAAATCAGTTTTATGAGATTAGACCTCTGGAAGGTCTTATCAGCATCCCCAGCGGGACTCAAACTATGACTTTGCAGCCTGTGATCTCACCACTTTACCCACCATACCACATTGCCACAAGTGCCCTTGGGCCAAAGGACAGGTGTGAATTTCAAAGAAGGCCAGCCATTTTCCCATATCGCAAAGTTGTATTTGCTATAACAATCGACTACCTTCCTTTAAATTCACATCTATCTTTCGGCTCAATGGCATTTGCAGCATTGTGGCATCGTGCGTAAGGTGTAGAGATTATACGCTGAAGTGTCATAGTTCGAGTCCCGCTGGGGATGTTGCTAAGACCGGGGCGAGGTCAAAACGGCAGTCCACTCTTGCCTGAATGAGAATAACTTTCGGAAACGTAATGTAAACTCATATAATTGTGGAAAATTCAACTGCTCTTGCCCTTATCGTATGAATACATATACTATAAATTATGTTCCGGATATTCTTGAAAATATCAACAGACAGCGAGTTTTTGGCATTACACGAATCGCTAGCCGCCTTCAAAAGACCAAGACATTTTGTTGGGCAATTGGGGCAGAAAAACCTTATTTTCAACGGAATTTTCTCCTGGAATCAAATGTTAATTCTGGCTGTTTTCAAGACAGACAGGAATTTCTAATTCCGTCCAGGCAATGTGTCAATTTCTCTGCTGGATCCAAGGCTGCATTACACTTTTTTCTGGGCGTCCGTCGGAATAACAACAACCGCCCAGCTCAAAGTTGACCAAAGGAGGTAGTTAACTTACCTCTTTGACGATGTATTGCTCAGTGCTGAGACGGGTACAGTTCACAGACGAAGATGTCCGCCAAACGTCTGTGAATGCACCAAGTCGAGGGTCGGATGCAGGAAATCATCATGAATGCTATGACAGAAGACGTTGTACAAGCTAGTTTTTTCAAGTTTGTCCTGACAGCACGACCAAGTTGTGAAAACGAAGGGAGTTCGAGTCGGGATTGGGGGGCCTGAACTATCTTGATCGCCACGCCTATAATTAATAATCGTGTGCCGTGCATCGTCGCCTAATGAATCATTGACAAGGTCAAAGTTGACGTCTCGGGGTTCGTATTCTTCTTCTCATAAAGTAATTGCCAAGTTGGCTTTCAGCCGGGCACTCTGCTCTCGAAGGAAAGCGTTTACATTTGACTTTAAGATGGATATTTCTTTCTTGTTTTAAAAGTATCTTTGAGGACGATGTTTTCTTGATTTCAAGGCTGATTTCTGCAAGACCCCGAGCCTCAAGCAATGAAAGTTTTGAAACAATCGGTAAATCCTAAACATAAGTTCCACTGACGTTAGGTCGCATGAGGATATAATATTGGTATGAGTAGACTTCACATTTCCACTAAATTGTATTCAGCCTTGCCTCCAAAAAGGTATTATACTGTTTTAACATCATTTGGGTCTCATCAGCACGCCCAACGGGAAACGAACCCAGGTTGTGAAGGTGAAGTGCATAATCTCGAGCCGTTACCATCACACCATGCTGTCACGAGTGCAGACGTGAATTGTCGTTAAGACAAGTTTGATTGATATGAAGAGTAACTGGGTTTCGATGAATCTCCTGAGATAACGTTATTGTCATGAAAATGTATGAAGAAGAGGACGGTTGAATCCCGTTGTACTGTAGCCGTTTGGCTTTTATACGACGTTGAGATTGATGCAGTCCACGAGACCTCCTCCCTTTTTTCAGGTGAAAGCAGGCTGCTATTACAATCGACCACACTACTCATACTTACAGAAAGTAGCGCTCGAAAATATAAGTAAATCTTTAATACATAATTATGGGAGAATTCAGCCGTCAGTTCTTCATCACCTTATGCGACCTAGGATGACTGGAACTCTTGTACTTCACAGTTGGTCTGTCAAAACCACAAGACGCAATTGAAAAATGGCAAATGCAGTGCTTCTCGCTGAAATCTAAACGGTAATTTAGGCATGTTAATTTGTTTGATCCTCTTTTCCCTTCTTCCCCTCAGATTTGGACACTTTCAATTCTGCTGTTGACACGAAAGATATTTCGTATCCCACATCGCTTCACCGTCTGCTACCTCGTCTGTGTCCTCTTCTCCTGCATCGGAGTCTCTCTCGGTCAACTGATGCTCGAGGCCGGCACTGGCGATGACAACTACGGCCGGACTGCTGACATGACCAATTTTTCTTTGGCCACTGACCCCTCCTCTCGCCTGATGCATATATCACCGGCCGACGGTGGACCCACCATGGACAGTCTGCTCGGCCTAAGTGAGCTACAGCTGCAAACCCGACTGCTTTACCCACACTTCCACTCTTCTTTAAGACTCCTGTCTGAGACGTTGATATAATCTCGAGGGCGGTTTTTTCTGCTGCCCAATCTTTAGGCTTCTATAAAGTGTCAAGTTGTTTCGACATCTTGCCAGAAGAAAGAGACCGACGTTTT